GCAATCGTACCAAATCACGGAAGTGAACCGCTATTAATGACGTATTATTTGATAAAAATGTGTGTTTGTGTATGTTTCACTCACTTTCCTGACGCGCGGCAAGCAGAGAGCTGTATATCTCATTTCTATTCGCCTTCAGAGTTCTTTAGAGCATTTGCGTAAGGCAGACGTAAGTGCCGTTATGTACTGAAGCTTTGGAAACAAAACCAACGGTTCAAAAGCATAAATATAAAATTGAAGAGAGCAATGCTACGCATTTTGCTGTCTTCTCCTGCGCCTTTGTTACTAAGCAATGGGGTAAACAGCTGCTGGCCTGATGACGTAAACGAACCGCGGTTCGGACCCAAATAATATAATGTGAACACAACGCATTTTGCCGTCTTCTCCTGCGCCATCGTTACTAAGCAACGGGGTAAACAGCTGCTGGCTTGATGACGCAAATGAACCGTGGTTCAGACCCAAATAATATAATGTGAACACAGTCCAACGGGGGAAGGGGAAGGGGGGAGCAATCGAACTCGGGTTCGGACCAAGCAATCGAACCAAGTGTGAAAGCACCCTTAGTGTCATAAATGTTTTTTGTTTGTATGTTCACACTGATGTTAAAATGACATTTTCTGATTTGTGACATTACTTTTTATGTAAGATTTAAATCAGCACAGCCAGCGAAGGATCGAACGCAACTGTTTTGAACGAGCGCACCTTTTTTTAACAACCAAAAAGTTTTGTTGTCTGTTGCGGAAGAACAGATGTTCCTTTTGTTGATAGCAGAGGAGCAGATCCAGCGAGAGCTTGATGGGGCGATGCGGAATGAAAAAGTTTTTTTTTAGTCGTGGTAGTAGAGGCAGCGTAACTATAACGACATGTGAATAATCCCGCGGACTCTAAAGCGGTACTGAACTGCAGTGGAAACGCAAACTGTGCCGTTCAGAAGTTGTAATGATTCTTTCTTTTCCAAGAAAGAATGTGAAACAAATTGGTTATATAATTTTTTAATATTTTAAAATATAATTGAAATTGATTTTACACAGTTTAAGCAATATCGTATCGCATATCGAATATCGCATTTTTAACAAGGTATCGCATATCGCATTTTTCTTCAATATCGCACAGCCCTAGTACCCCCCCCACTTTACCCACCCACATCCCTCTGTCTGATCCCCATATAAATTATATTACTATAACTTAAAATCTTATGAACTTAATGTGATTTCCTTTGATAAAATACTTCATGAAATATAATAATAGCTACAATTAGCTTCAAGCTACACATGACAATTAATACAACACTTTTTCTTAAAAGTCACCATCAATCACCATTGAGTGTTTGTAAAAACTGCGATCTGACTGCGATCTTTTTTTATTTATTTATTTATTTTACAATTTTATAAAAGATTTCCATTTTAAATGATTGCTGTTCTTTTGAACTTTCTATTCACTAAAGAATCATGAAAGCATGTATCACAGCCAGTAACTAGTTACAGTAATAATATTACTTTTTGCTAGTAGTGTAACTAATTAGTAAGATTTCATTAATAATATTACAGTTACTATCCATAAAACAGCTTGTTATTATATTATCGATATAAATTATATTACTATAATTAAAAATCGTATGAACTTATGTGATTTCTTTTGATAAAATACTTGATAAAAAAACAGAAATATAGCTACAAATAATAGCTACAATTAGCTTCAAGCTACACATGACAATTAATACAACACTTTTTCTTAAAAGTCACCATCAATCACCATTGAGTGTTTGTAAAAACTGCGATCTGACTGCGATCCAGTGTAGATTCTGGTCAAATGATGAGGCAGAAATAAATTGTTAGTAACATTTTAGAAGAATTTTATGGGGAAGATACACAATTACAACTTCTGTGGGGCATGAAGGAAAAGTAATGTAACTAGTAGTGTAACTAATTACTGTTGCCAGATAATAATAAGTAAAGTAATAATATTACTTTTGAATGGAGTAACTAGTAACGAGTAATAAATTGCATTTTTGGAGTAACTAGCCCAACACTGGCCATGTTGTACGCTATATATAATTCATATTGTCATTTGGGATTACTAAAAATCATATGCAAACTTTATATCCATCCTGTAATATTTTTGTGAAAAATGACTACAATAAATGGGACCCATTGACCCCAAATGGCTTCAAATAATAATGCTATCACATCCTGCTTTTAACGCAGTTGTCGGAAGTAAATATAAAAATGGGGTGTTTATTAACTGAATGATTGTCAATGTAACTGTGACTGTAAAAGAATTGCTCCGTAACAATGTCTTTCTGCAGGGACAAACTCTGAAATGTCAAATGCATCAGAGACAGAAGAGATAGGAGAGCGGGAGCCCAGGCCAAAAGGTGTTGGCGGAGATGACAGGGGTTCCAAGCGTGGAGGTCGTGGCCGTGGCTCCAGCACTGGTAGGGGCCGGGGAGGACCAGGGCCCCGAAACACTAACACTATCAGCTCAGGTACATACTGATTGCTATTAATAAAAACTATGCTTTAAAAAAATGTCTTGGAGTCTCAGAATTTCTAGAGCGAATATCTTTTTTTTTTTTTTTTTTTCTAGTTATGATGTAAAAAAACTTAATTGGATAGAAATGGCCTTGGTGTTAAATCTCTCTTTGTTTAAAAAAACCACTAATAAATTGCCGTTCAGTAAAGCAAGTAAAAGTGTCATGAAAACTAATGTCAAAAGGTGTGGGAACCATGGTTTTTAAGCAAAATCAATAAAACTTACAGGGTGAAATGATTACAAATTACAATTTTTTTTTTATGCTTGGTAGCCTAGGCATGCAATCTCCTGTTTCTCATCATTTGTGCCCTACCAAACATCTGTGTATTTGTATACATTCCAGTTCTCCGAGATCCAGACAGTAACCCGTACTCTCTGCTGGAGGGAGAAGGTGAAATAGGTGGTGATACAGATGCCAGTGAGAGCATGGGCGGCACTGACCGCAGGAGACGTTCACGTCGTCGCCGTAACGACCAGGAACCCAGCCTTATGGATGCAGCCGCTAATGAATCAGACAGTCAGGCAGCCGCCAGTGAGAATGGACTGGGTATGACAAAGGTTCAGTTTATTTTGATACTCTCAGGTTGATTAAGAAGACAGGGCTTAAAGTTCTCCGGCACCTCTTATAAACACGAGACGTGCATTAGTATCCAATTGCAGAGTCGCAGCTGATGAATAGAAAAGAAGCCTGGGTCTCGAGCGCGACACATTGAAAAAGCTGCGAGGCACAATGGTCAAATATTTCCATCTAGCGTAATCTATATTTACATAGAAAAGCTATTAAAGGGGTGGTTCACTGGGTTTTTTCTAGGCTTGATTGTGTTTATGGGGTGCAGTCTAACATGTGTTAAT